TTCAAAGGTCAAAGGTCACGCTCATGAATGCCTGTGTTGTCCTAACGGTGGTCTCTTGTTTCCGAGCTGAACACAGGGCTCTATTATCCAGACTGTCTGCTTCTTTGCAGCTGGAGAGCAGTTTTCTTCTAAGTGTGTGTGCACGCAAAGAACTTTAAACTTTATGCTGTTTAAATAGGCATTTCCCAATAAAATCTAGCAAAAAACAACAAATAATACTTCATTTTCAGTATTACAACATATCTGTGTGAGGTTTTTCTTCTTGAAGGTTACCTTTCAACATTGCTTCTGAGAATCTTGCTTTTTTTTTTCTTAAACACACCAACACTTAAAACGCACTAAAATTCACCAGTAACCAGCCAAACCACACTTCATTTAAGCCAATCTAAGTATGCCATTTCACAAAGCATATAGTACATATTTCTGTCATTTCAGATGCACTGACATGTACATAGTTTTTATTAGCATGAAGCAGCAAAGTAGCAATACCTGCTTTAAGGACTTAAATGGGATCACTGTTTGATTTGCAAGCAACCTAACCGATTTAAGTAGTCACTGACAATTTCTGGAATACTGTTAAAATTAACAGTCAAGAGATGCGCTGAAGGCCACCATTAAAACAACCTGAGCTTCCATTGCACCTCAGCAAAACACTGCCATGCAACAACAAGGTTTTAATTCAGGGCAAAGATGCCCCAACCAAGTTCTGAGAACACATACATGTTAATACTCAGTAGGTTCACATTTAGAACTAAAAAAATAAATATTTTTATCTATTAACTGTGTGGATGGTATGTGATTGAGGTGGGGGAAATATTGGACCAAAACAGTGATTTTCCTGAGACATATTCAAACTTCAGCACAATGGCAACTAAAAACAACGCAGATGAATTTAAAACTTAGTATTTTCATTCATATTTCATGTTTTATGCACCATGTGTTTTTGGGGGTTTAGCATCATGTACTAAATGTTCTTTAAATCCCTTTAATAAGCTTGCTCTACACAAACCTGTTCATATAAGCATTGCTTTGTTGGCAAATGTTCAGCACCTCCTCTTTGCTGTCCGAACAATTTCATAAAAAGCAGGTCTGGACTGGACCTCGATGCAGTTCTTACAATAGTACCTTTAAAAAAGGCAGCTCACTTCCCCCCAACTCCCTGCAAAATTCCCTCCAACTTCCAGCCACTCAAGTGACCCCCTCTTGCATATTTTTTTAACTTGACTCCACCATTTCACTGAGTTACAGGGGGTGACCAGGAGATGACACTTCTCCTTAGTTCTTAATGTCCACAAATCATGACAGAAAGAATATTTTAGTACGAAGATTGATGCTTAAAAAGGAATTGTAGGGGACCAGCCAAGGGCCCATCAAGGAAAGTGGGGAAATTTTGAATGGCTACTACTGAATACCTGGGCTCCTTTTGACCCAGTTGTTGTTAAACAGAAGTCACTACGTAATATTTTCCACCAGAGGACCAATCTGTTGTATTGGATAAGGCCCTGTGAACAGCTGCAGCATTTCCAGCATGTTTCCTATGTGTGTTTTTCTTTCACAAAGCAAACAGTAATCTGTTTTTTAAAAAGTGCAACAAGGCAGAAGGTAAAAGTTGGTCTTGACTAATTGGATAAACTATGGACAACTCCTCTAGAAAAAAACCTTGTTCCTTTTTATTACGAGGCTCAATTCACTACTTCCAAAGCTGACTTTAAACCTCAGTTGTCTATTAATGGCTTTATATAAAACATTTGAGTCATTTTGTGTGTATCTTTTAAAATGTATTTTATTATTAGCTGAATGGTGATTAATGATAATAATGATTTTCCAGCCTCTAAGAAAATGGAAAAAGTATTTTTGTTTCAAACATTTAATTGTAAAATTACCCATAATGTAAACAAAACATACTGTAGATCCTTGATAAAGGTCAGGGATTTGAATTCAACAGCATTACAAGAGCATCTGTCCCTAGGCTTAAACTTACTTATATGAAATGATTAAAAAAAAAAAAACAGCATCATGTTTGGTGATGCATTTAAAGCCTAAAACAAAAGTAGGAGTTTGCAGCACTCAGCTGACCAGTTAAGATGAAAAGAGACAATGGATTTTTTAGGAATCATCTCATCTTTATATGATACATTTTATTGTTTATGCATCTTGTTCTCTGTTATCTAAAGCATTTCTTCCATGTTTATGTTAGCAATGTCTTTTTGTTGAGCTTGCCAAACTATAAAAGTCTAAGTGTTGATGATAAAATAGGGATGATTGAATGAAAAACTGGGAGGAATCTTGTTTGGAAAATGTTAAAAGTGCTTAGCCTGCAAAAAAAAAAGTTTGGATTTTTCTGCTGCCTCTCAGTAAACAAGTACTTGACTTATCAGAGCTCTACCCAAAAATAGCAGGCTTGCTGAAAACCTTCAGAGCCTGTTGGACCATACAAGAGATGAGGGAGGATCAGAGATGAGGGGAATATTTAATTAGTTGATCAACAGGACAATGAACTCCAACAGCAACCTTTAGACTTCTGTTATTTGTTTTCTGTGTTGGACTGTTTTTAAGATGGAAAAACATCAAACACTGTCCCATGAAGTTTCATGGGACTAGAGCTCTGAGACCTGTTGCTTTAGAGTCAAATTCAACTCTTCACACTCTATGCAGCGGCTGTTAATAACTGAAAGTTATCTTTGAATGACAATCTTCTTTGGAAACATAACCTTGAACATTGTTACTTCTATCTGTTTATATCCAATATCTACATATAAATTCTATAATTACAAGCAAATACATTTTCTTTAGAACTTGACATTTAGCTCCAAAACATGTGCACCTTCTTTTGCTAATTTTTTGTATGTATATATATATATATATATATATATATATATATATATATATATATATATATATATATATATATATATATATATATATATATATATATATATATATATATATATATATATATATATATATATATTTATATATACGTATATATAAATATATATATATAGAAAAGATCTTAGGAAGTTATTTTTCTGGTTCATTAAGAAAGATTTCAGTTTGTCTTTGATTCACACCCTAAATTAAAACTGATTTCAAAAAAGAATACTGTACAAATTGATAGGTCATCTTTCTTCTAGAAGTTATGTAGAGTTTTGGAGAAAAATAAGTTGTTGGATGTAAGATTAAAAAGGCTTGCAGTGGGGTAAGGTAGACAAAAAAATAAGCATTTTTGTTTTGTTAAATAAGGATTAAAGAAGACATTGGGAGAAAAAAGTTGCGATGACGATAAACTGTTGAAATAACAGCAAGTTGAAATAATGGAAACAAAGTTTAAAAAATATACCAGGATAGATTCAAAATGATTTAAAAAAAAATTTAAATGAAAACAGACTAAATATTTTAAAAAGCCAATATTTTGACTTCAATCATAACAAAACATAATTTATTCAACTTTCAAGTTTTTCATAATGTTCTGACTTATTCTGGAAGTTTTAACCCTATTCTGTAATAGTTCAAAATAAATAAATAAATACAATTTACCAAAAATGTTCTCCCAATCACACTCTAATAGAAAGATATTTAGAAATTACTGTAGCAAGCGCTGATGTAAAAAAAAACCAAGCTCTCACCTTATGCTGCTCTTTAGTTTGAACGCTTTCAGTTGATATTTGGACACAGTAGCCTAAAAGCATTATTCATTTGGGAAGTTCAGTTTTCAGGCTTTTCACTTTGCAGGTCCACTACAGAAAATGGACAATAGCAGGAGGAAGTAGCGAAAGGGGAAACTTCCTTTGAACAGCAGTTTAGGGAGAAAAGCAGGAAGTCATTTTTAAAAACTGATCAAATCCAAAGAAAATAACACTTCCAAGCATCTACACAAGAAGGTTTTTTTTTTTTTTTTTTGCAGCTTTAAAGACCACGCCTTTTTTAAACCCAGGGTCAAACTTTTATGTTTGTATTTTGGTCTGAAAGGGTTTAAAGGGTTTGTCTGAGGTGGCAGGTGAAGAGAGATCTGTGCTGGAAGGCAGAAAATTAACAACTCTGGTAGAAAAGAAATAGTACATCTCAACATTGTTGTGTCTTTGTATTTCATGTTTTTGTTTTTTATGATTAATTAAGTCATCAGCGTGTTTATCCGTGGAAACTATAAAAAAAAAAAGTTGATCCAATACAGTGAAAACAAAGGTGATGTCATTTTTTTTATTTCTTAATCAGAGATCAAGGAAATGGCACAGAAACTGCAGAATTACCACCTTATTAGAATTTATTTTTTTTCGGTTCTGTTTTGAGAACATTACTAAAGACAGACCTGTTTGAATCTTCTGAAAAGGTTATAAGTAAGCATGCTGTGAAAGCTCCTGTCTTGTTCCACCATCAGACAAAAACATAATGCCAAAGCAACTGTTAAAAGAGAACACAGAGCCCGAGGAAAAAGCAGAAGTTCCCTTTGTATTTAAATCTGTTGTCAAGAAAAGGAGGATTTTGTGGCTAATTTCATAAGGACACACATTTTATGCCTCGAGTTGTCAAACAGCTGCTGCAGATTAATGTATTTTCTAGATATTCTATCACATATTTAGTCATTCACTTCCATTAATCTTTTTTTCTATATCCAAGCATCCATTCAGGGTCATGTGTCACACTGAGAAGGTCACCAGTCCATCACAGGGCCACTAATAAGAACAATCAAACATGCACACATGCACCAAGAGGCACCAATCAATAGTAATGCTTTTGGGTGATTAGAGGAAGCCGGAGTACCTAGGGGGAATTTACCAATAAATTGGGCACTGTCCGCAGGAAGTTAAGGTAAGGAACCTTTTGGTCAATTTCACTGACAATTTTTTGGCAGCCCAGGAGGACAGAAAAAGGCAGTAGAATAGTCTGACTTTCCAATATTTTTGCTCGGTGTAAACATGACATTCTTGAAAAGTATACCCACCATGCATTGTGGAACTCCTGTCCACACCTGCTTAAATAAGCTTTCACACGGTCCTACTCACATTGAGATTGGATGGACTGCCTGATTTTTTTCTAAGAAGGCTCCTCCATTGTCCTTGGTGAGCAGTGATTGTTGCCTAACTCAGCCACTGATTACAGTCAAGCCATGCAGCTGCCTCCCGTCTTGGTCCTGGAAATGAATAAACCAGGGGAGTAATGAGTAGACTAAGCCATCTGGGATGATTAGCGGCACATCTATGTCATCAATTTCTATCGAAGGTAAAAAAAAAAAAAATATATCTTACTCTGGCCTCAGTCTTGAATTGATAAAAATCAAATCCAGGCACAATGCACTGTTTATGTATGTTCAATATTTAAATTAGCTAAGTTTTAAAGCTATTAAAAACAACTTAACTATATGGGAAAAAGCAACGAACCGGCAGTAATTTCTACCTTGGAGCTCACCAGTGGATGCCATTTTTTCCCACTCTCTTTCTCATTGTTAACTCCATAGTCCACATCCTCTGTAACTTCTCTGCTGATTGTATGCTGATTAAAAAGAACCGTTCCACATTCTTCATGACTTTGCGTAATGTCGTACGTTCTCCTTCTTTCCCCTTCAAAATACGGAGCAATTAAATTTGTTGCTGTGTTCCAGTCCATTGGAATCTGAACAGGTTAAATGTATGGCGGAGGCAATGGCGTAAATATCGGTAAGCAGAGACAGCAGTTGCTTATGGGCCCGTCACTGACACCTGGTAGGCCCCCTGACAGTTGTAGACTAGGACGTCTCTTTGCAGATGTAATGGTGCAAAAAATTCCTCTTAAACCCACCTAATACTGAAGTGGGTGATCGCCACCAGACCGTATTTATACTGCAAAATGATTGCCAGATTTCAACATAATGGTGAGACGTTTATAGATGACACCATTAAGCATCTGCCTGAAATGACTTTTTGTAACTTGGGATCTCTGTATCATGTGGTGGTGTGCTGTCACCAATGGTTCCATTTAAGGAGCACAGTCAATATTTTTCCGGGTGTGATGTGTGATAGTTTACTACTGAGAATTCCATAATTGTATCTTCTATGGAACTAATGCCATATCCTGAACTTTTATCATGTGCTATACTTCATATGGGTCCCACCCTGATAATGTTGCTTATGGGCCTATTGTTGTGTCGTTACGACATTGAGTGGAGGATGTTCTTTTTCCGGGTGGATTATCTAAATTTGTGGTGCTCTTAATTGTTAATCATTCTGGTGATATGTTTACGTAAGGCCGTCCTACGTCCTCACTTACCGGTGGTGAGTCTGACATAGTGGAAAAACCGTGAATCGTCTTTTGGAATGTAAGCTTGTATGGGCGATGCAAAAAGCAACTTTTAAACAGAGCATGCAAAAAGAAAAATAGGCTTATAGGTTTATTTACAAGGAAATGTTTACTGCTGGTCCATGTTTTCTCTGTTCATGGATTATAGCTGCAATTGTTGAAGGTTCTTATCTTAAATTTTCACAGAATGGGTGAATTTTGATCAAAACACAGGCAATGCTACACTTTTGTTAGTCTTATTTTGATTTGTTGTCAGGACTATTAAAATAAGCTGTCAAATCCTTTATGCACCGTAATCTTTTGGTCGATATTTTATTCAATAATGGCAAATCTTCATCCTGCTTCAAGGTGTAAAATTAACCATCAAAATAAATAAAACTAGTAGATGGCTGCTAAACATGCAGGTAAGGGTTTTTCTTTGCTTTCTTCTTTTAGGGTTTTATTTTGCTTGTCTTATTTTAACCCTGTGTGTGTTTTCCAGCTTAATGCTTCTTTATTTACCAGGTCTGGAATTTATCAGAACTGGGAGTGGCTGCTGAGACTGAACCCAAACAAGGTGATAAATCACACTTAATTCATGATTTACCAAGAGGGGCAAATACTTTCACAATTCAAGTCAGATTTTTTTTTTTTTTTTTTTTATTTAATGAGTAAAATTTGAATTTTTAAAGAAAATTCACTTAAGTTGTCAATGCAGGATCTTAAAATATGCATCAAAAAGAACATTAGAAATCAGCCCAATGGCAAATCTGTTTTCAATATGTACTATAAGCAAAGCTACTGTTATTTTGTGTGCTGTTGAGGCTAAGCAGAGTCATAATGATTACTTGTTTGTCTTTATGCCACGCTGAGACCAAAAAGATTAGGTCAAAGTGTGGGATGGCTTCTAGCACTTTTTGATTCCTTCAGATCCACTCAACCTTCTTTAAGCTTCTTTTCAAAATCACTGTATTGTTATTGCAGGAATAAAACTGGGTTAGATGGAGGTCAATGAGTCTCCTCAAAAAGAGAACCCAAAAGAGGATGGTTATCTATTTTGCAGGAGTCTACAGTTTTTAGACGTACACAAAAGAAAGCGAAGAGATAAGTGAAACTGTAAAAGTGCAGAGCATTTAGAATCTCGCCTCTGGCCGCAGTTCAACCACAGAAAGTGCTACACCTTAACATGAAACTTTGGTCTTTTGTTGAAGCCGTTAAAGAAAACAAACGCTCTGCTAAATGCAAATCAAATCCAGGAAAAATTGAATCTGTTGTCTGTTTTTACTCACGTATCCATAGCAGGTGAAAACATTTTGTATTTACATCAAAGAAAACAGTCAGATGATGTTAAGCCCTGAAAACCAGGCAGGAAGGACGCCGGGATAATTTTACAGACAGAAACGAGGTCAGTTGTGATCAAATCTTATGAAGCCATCACTACTGAGAGCTTAAGGGATGCACAGCTCAACTGATTTATGTCTCAGTGATAACCTGTCTAAAGGACTGAAATGCAACAAACGATTGTTTCCTTCACACTTTGTAATTCAGTCATTTACTGTTCTGACTCTCTACAATACAATACATTTTCCTGACTTATTGGGATTTATTTTACATGTTTCCTGTTTTAATAACCTGAATGTTCTTTTTTCATGCAGTGTAATTGTTCTATCTAAATGGATTAAGAATGGGACCCCAGGAAGAATAATTGTCAAGCTTCTAACAACTAATAGGGATCCAGATGATAAATAAACAAATACAGTAAACAAATAACACTCATCAGTGTTTTTATGTAGCATTAGAGACCTTTTGTAATGTTTAACTGAAAAATATCTACTTTAATGAGCAGACTGACAACTCAGTAGTTCAGCGCCAAAGCATCCATAAGCCTCTAGCCTATTTTTACAGAATCTAATTTGGGTAAGAAGTTCCCTCTCTGTTCAGCGGATGTGACGTCAAGCTCGTCCATGTTAAATGGGTCCAACCGAGCAAACAATCAAAGCGATATATTCAAGATGTGTCACAAGTGAGACAGATGGACCCAGTAATAAAGGCTCTTTTCCGTATCCATAACTGTTTTTATGTTCCCGTATTTGTATTTTGGTATTTTCATCTTTCTTTTTATATATTTCTTTTATTTTCTGTAAAGTGACCATGAGTGTCCAGAAAGGCGCTGTTAAATAAAATGTATTATTATTATTATTTCAGACAATGAGAAGTTTCAAAAAACTTAATGACAGAAATGATAAAACAGAACCGAAAGGAGAAACGGACTGCAGCGGGTAAGTGACCACTATCATCTGACAATCCAGGTCAGAGAAACTGTTCATAACCGGAAAGTTCCAAGATCCAGGAGACCATAGCCTGAACAAGGACCAGGTCAAGGTCCGATCCAAGCAGACAGATCCTTGGTTCCAGGAATCCCCAGAGCGTTCAGGCAAGTTCAGAGTTCTATGAGTCCAGCAGCATGCTTAGACAGACACTCGCAGATTAAGACAGGCAGACTCAATGGTAGAGAGGAACATAGACAAGGCATGATACCAGGATAAATGCCGAACTTTAAACTGGTCTCCTCCTAGGAGCTAGGCTCACAAGACTAAAACTGACTTCCCCCAAGTTCCAAACCAAAACCCTGATTACTCCGCAGAGAAGGGCCAGAACCCGCGCTCCCCCCGCATGCCAAGCCAAAACCCTGAGGACTCAGCAGAGAAGAGCTGGGGCAGATCAGCAGACAGGAGACAATAACCAAACCCTCTCAATCCACTGGCCTCCAGGAGTCATGGCATGGACCAGGAACTTAACTAAAACTCATGAAACAAACATGAACAACTGAAACTAAATCATCACATGAATAAACTAACAATTCACAAAAACACTATTAATACAAATGAATAATGATCTGGCCCCGATAGCTGGGCTGAACCGTATATATGTAGCAGAGGAAGCAGGTGAGTATGATTAATGATAATTAGAGAGCAGGGAGGGAAAGGCAGGTGAATGAAGTGAGTAATCAGCTAGCGGGGCTGCGATCATGACAAGACGGATTTAGTGGATACTCAGAAGCGACCTGCCCATCCTTCCCAACTCAGACATCAATGGAAACTTTAGTTCAAGTGAAAAAAGTAAAAAAGAAAAAAAATGAACTTGTCAAGTACGACGGCAAGCTATGAGAATGAACAGAAGTGTGCTGCAGTTCTGTGTTTTGGCCACAGGTGGCAGTGTCATTAGAAAACATCTTGTCTTTAACAGAAAATACTTTTTCCACTAGAGCTGCACAATATATAGAACCGCAATGCTCATTAAGCTAATAATGATAGTAATATCACAATGGCTCCTGGCTGTAATACCATCTTTTCAATTAATAATCAGGTAGCCAAAGATTACTTAAAGAAGACTTTTTACGAGAGTACCAGAATGTTCACAAGCCATTTATGTTAAGATAGAAAAAATAACCTTAAACAGAGGGGGGGACTCAAGTTTCAGCTCTCTAAAACCTTAAACGCAGTGATAGAGTTGATTTCTTATGGCCATGCAGGGGACCAAGACAACTCGCCTGGTCAGCCAGGCCAACATTGGCCCTAACGACTCCCCCCTTTCAGAGGCAAAGACCAGTATCCAGCATTGCAGGCTAACAAAGACCTCAACAACTCCCCATTCCTCAGGGGCGGACCTCTTCGTCCTCTTCAGTTTGCATGTTTTCTAAGCCATAACAACGTTTTGTTTGGGCTTCTCTATAAAGCTTGGAACTCAACGCTAATTCTGACATTTTGAATTAAAAAAAGCTTCCTGAAACGAAACATCTTCAAACTTGGATACAAGGTCCAGTGTTTTTTTTTTGTTTGTTTTTTGTTTTACTTTTTTAGAACTTTTTACGAAATTAAA